GGGGAATTCTGGGAGTTGAAGTCCTCCAGGCTTAACGTTACCAAGGTCGGACACCCCTGGTCTAAATGGTCCCGGCCGTTTCCATGGATAGGTGTGAGCCTTTGAGACAGTGTTGACTTCTGGCAACTGCCTGAACAAACCCCTGCCCTTTTCTGGGTTGTGTTTTCAGAAGGGGTTCGCCCATTGCCTCCTGTTCTGACCCAGCTCCCCAAACACGACAAGCCCTCTGGAGAGGACTCAAAGATTCCTTTAATTAGGAGCGTCGGCAGCCCCGGCGGAAAACTTCTCTCTCACCGCAAGCTAACAAGGGAGGGAGGGAGGGAGATGAATAGTTGTCTGACACTCTATTCATCTCCCCCCCCCCCCGCCACCTTTTATTCCCAGAGCTAGGATGGAGTTCGCTAGCAGCAGTGACTCTTCTATCCCAAGGTCCGGCCCATAGATTTCCACAGCTCTCCTCTCCTCTGCCTTCTGTGCATCCGTGTGTCGGGCACTGGACTCAGCTGTTCCTTCTGTTTTTCATCATCCACCTCCAGACCTGGGGGCTGTTGACTCTCCATCTAAGGGTTGATAGGTAGCCTCTATTTCTCTCTCTGCCAGCTCCATTCCCTCTTCTCAGGTTGCTCGATGCTGACCCTGACTCCACTCCTCCTCCTCCTCCTCCTCTGATTTGGCTGCTGGAGGAGCACGCGGCTGACAGGCCACACTTCCTTCCTAAGGATGACTAGTCACCCAGCTAACTGCATGCCTAAGGCAGGACTAGAACTCCCAGCTTCCCAGTTTACTACTTTATCCACCTTAACCACTACACCAAACTGGGTGTCCTTTTACTTCTCCCATCTCCACCCACAACAATGGCCTTTCAGTTAAAGCCTCCCTGAAGTCCAGATCAGTTCTTGACGGTTGTACAAGCAGGTTAGCATACAGGTAGTCCTTGTGTTACGACCACAACGGAGCCCCAAATGTATGTGGCTAAGTGAAACATTCAAGGGGACGCGGTGGCTCAGTGGCTAAGATGCTAAGCTTGTCAATCAGAAAGATCAGCAGTTTGGCGGTTCGAATCCCTAGTGCTGTGTAATGGAGGGAGCTCCTGTTCCTTGTCCCAGCTTCTGCCAACCTAGAAGTTCGAAAGCATGTAAAAAATGCGAGTAGAAAAATAGAGACCACTTTGGTGGGAAGGTCACAGTGTTCCGTGCACCTTTGGCGTTTAGTCATGCCAGTCACATGACCACGGAGACATCTTCGGACGGCGCTGGCTCTTTTGCTTTGTAACAGAGATGAGCACCGTCCCCTTGAGCTGGAAACGACTAGCACACATGTGCGAAGGGAACCTTTACCTTAAGTGAAACATTGGTTAGGTGAATTTGGGTCCACTGACTGACCACAAATACTTCCTTATTATCGCCAAGGAAAGTATGCTAACATGCCCATACAACCAACTGAACTGGGCTGGAGGCAGACTTTAACTGAAGGGTATTATTATGGGTGGAAATGACCAAAGTAAAAGGACACCCAGTTCGGTGGGGTAGGGAAAAAGACCCAAGAAAATCCAGTTGCCTTTTGGAAAAATCACCTTTGTGATAACCATGACCTCGATGATTGAGAATCTCCAATAGACATTCTCCAAGATCAGATCTGATCCTATTTAGCTTTTTACAAAGTCAGATAGGAATTGATTTGAAGTGTGTATATGTGTGGGGGGAGGGGCAGTGGGGAGATTGAAAATTTTTTACTACCGGTTTTGTGGGTGTGGGCATCACGTGGCTTGGTGGATGTGGCTTGGTGGCCATGGCAGGAGAAGGTGCAAAATCCCCATTCCCTCCCCACCCCACTAACCTGATCTCCAGCTCCGTTCTCCTGTGCAGGGCAGCCAAAGGAGACCCAGCCGATCAGCTGGAACTCAATGGGAGGCGGAGAATAGATGGGGGCGGGGCCAGTCAGAGGTGGTATTGCCGGTTGCCCGAACTACTCAAAATTTCCACTACCGGTTCTCCAGAACTGGCCAGAACCTGTTGAATACCACCTCTGGTGGTGGTGGGGATGCATTTGAGTCAGTCTAGATTCCTAGCACTTGCCTGGATGGGTCCCTGCACTTTTCTTGGCAAATGTTTTCAGAAGAAGTTTGCCTGCTTCTTCCTAGGGTGGGGAGAGAAAGGGAGAGAAAGAGAGAAAGGGAGGGAGGGAGGATGGGAGGGAGAGAAAGGGGGAGAGAGAGAGAGAGAGAGAAAGGAGAGAGAGAGAGAGAGAAAGAAAGGGAGAGAGAGAGAGAAAGGGAGAGAGAGAGAGAGAGTCAGGCTCACGGTCACCCAAGTGGCTTCATACCCAAGGCAGGACTAGAATCCATAATCTTCTGGTTCCTCTCCGCATCTTTCAACCGCTACACCACGCTGGCTGCTAATTGACCCGTGGCAGAGACTAAATATGCTAGCTGGAGTCAGTTTGGCCATTACTCCAAAAAGTGTAATTGGCTCTGTGAGGATCAGGAGAGAAGGAAGAGGTTTAGTCAGAAATGTGGCAAGAAAACTGAAAGCTTTGGAGTCAGCAACAATCTTTCGCATTTTGTTGCAAGATGCTAATAATTTCAATATGTTGTAAAGATACTTTCCTGGGTTTCATCTTCTTTCGACGGGTAAGAAGCTGGATTATACTATATTTGGGTTTTGGTCTCCCAAAAAAAAATGCCCTGAGCTACCCTTTATAGCAAATTGAACTTAAATCCTTATTGGCAACTTTCTGATGGGCTATAGTTAAAATTTGTCTACCTTGAGCCATCCAGATCTGCTGGAAAATACAGCAGGATTTCCGTCTGGATGATTTTTCCAGGCTGCGTATGAAGAGGGCCAATTAGTAAAATCAAAACCTCCTTCCACTGCTCCTTCAATGTTCCCATCGCAGTTGTGAAATAGAACTTATTGCCCGGCTGAAATTAGTTTCAGTCAGTCCATCAAAAGGGGTTACATCCACTTGCTTTCTAAATGGATATGCTGCATGTTTTAAGAAACATTTGAACTACTTCTGCTCTATTGATTTTGTGTCATTAGTTTGAAAAAACAACAACAGAAAAACAAGAGATGATCTGTGCATTAACCAAAGTTCTGGCATTTGAAGGAATGAAAGGTCCTTGGTGCTCTTGAACTTGCTTGTTTCTTGCAGATGTTTTGTTACCCAAACTAGGTTACATCCTCAGTGCCAATCCTTCTAGCACTGACGATGTTACCTAGTTAGGTAATGAAATGTCTGCAAGAAAACAAGGGAGCTCAGAGAGCACCAAGGTCCCCTCATGTCAATCCCGAGCTGCAATATTCTCCTTCAGAAGAAATGAAGTTTTGGATTAAAAATTACGTAGATGTGGCTTCAGGAAGCTTGTGTTAGCCTCCACTAATTAGAGCAGACCAGGAGATCACTTGAAGGTTAAAATTACTTTTATTGAGACTGGCTGTCCTTATAATAATCTATAATCTCCATTAAGATAATCTCCCTACAGTTTGACAATAGAACAACTTTGGAAAGGATAACCCAGAGGTGGTATTCAGCAGGTTCTGACCAGTTCTTGGAGAATCAGTAGCAGAAATTTTGAGTAGTTCGGAGAACTGGAAAATCCCACTTCTGACTGGCCCTGCCCCCATCTATTTTCTGCCTCCCGAGTCCCAGCTGATTGGCTGGGTCTTCTTTAGTTGCCCTGCACAGGAGAACGGAGCTGGAAGGCAGGTTAGTGGGGTGGGAATGGGATTTTGCAGTAACCTTTCCCTGCCACGCCCACCAAGCCACACCCACCAAGCCACGCTCACATAACCGGTAGTAATTGAATCCCACCACTGGGATAACCCTTCGTTATAGTGGATACCGATAGTAAACAGCATATAAGACCAGGTGTTCTACAATGGCTTTCCCTAAATGATTCCTTCGTTATGTTGGACTTCAGCTCCAATGATTCTCTAGCTACCCTAGAGCCATGCTGACAATGGTAAATAAACACAGAATAAATATACTTAAAAATGACTTTGCAAGGGTTAATCGTTCTGTGGCATTTGGGAGGGGGGAGAGTGGAGAGGCCCAATCCAGTTGAGAAGGTTGTATGATGTCTTTTTCCTGTCTTTGTCATCCCTCAAATGTTTTATTTAGCTGGGGGAAGGTATTTCCTGAACGTAATTTATCTTTAAAATGAAAGGTCAGCATAGATTCATTGAAAATACAGTAATGGAGAGAGACAGGGTTTCTCTCTCTCTCTCTCTCTCTCTCTCTCTTGCCTAATCTTCCAGTGCTGCTGTATGTGTTGAAGGAACAGTTCACTGTTTTACTGGATAATTGCTGGAAATGAACAGGAGCTTGGAACAAAAGTACCGGGAAGTGTACGATAAAAAAAATAAAGTACAGAGATATACCAGTAGAGGGCGTACAGCCCTCATTAACTAAATGAAGAAAACACATTAATAAATTGGTATATGGACACAGGTAAATTACTACTTCTGGTGCTGTTGGGTTAACTACTGTTGCACTGCAGTTATTAGTTTCAGGTAACGTGAAATAGAGCCTTCCCATTACAGTAGCATGTTGGAATGGTCATAAAACGGATCGGTCACGTGACTGACCTGATTTTATAACCTTTTTTTGTGGCTGCCGTTAAGCGGATGTGGTGGTTGTTAAGCAAATATCCTGGTCATAAAGCAAATATCCCAGGCATCAAATCAAATGCCTTTAACCCTTAAGTGAAGCGATGGTTCTCTATGGGAGTGGTTTTGGGGAAAACCAGAAGCGCAATTTTGGGCAGAATCATCATAAAACATGGTCACATGCAGTGGTGGTATTCTACTGGTTCGGCCTGGTTCAAACAAACCGGTAGCGCCAACGATCAGCTGCTGGGCCCTCTATACTGCCCTTTATTTCCTGCTTTTCGACCTCAGTTGCTTCGTGCGTCAGCTCTTTGACCCACAGGGCTTGCCGCAGAAGGTGAGTTTAAAACGATGCACCGGCGCAAAGCATGCGTTTGGTGCGCACACTCACACTGAACCGTTAGGAAAAACTTTTTGAAACCCACCATGGTCACATGCCTGCAGGATTTTGCAAACAGGGCCAGTGTCAGCTTTGGAAGCCATATTGAGACCAGATGCTCCCACGCTGCCACATTTTCAACCTGGGAAAGTGGGAGGGTGGAAGTTCTTGGAGTGTATGTCGTTAGACAAAATAACATTCTTTTTGTATTTCAAGGTCATGCTACTGTGCCCATATATGAGGGGAGGTCTTCAGCTGGGGCGAATGATGATTGGGGCATGTGATGTGATGATGGGTGTAGGAGGATGGATTTGTAGTTTTGATTATTGCAAGGAAGCCCAGAATTTTCAGATTCAGGATTCCCCCAGTCATGCCAGTTACTATCCAAATAAAAGAGAACTTTTGGCGTGATGTCTGTCTCGGAGTTATTGGTTGGAATGGAGGGTTGCTGAAATGCTGACAGCCAGAAGTTTGATGGTTTCACTTTGCAGAAAGAAACTGTCAGAATTTCAAATCCAGGTCGTTATTGGGTCAACTTGTCAGTGGAGGACTACCTGGAGAGCCTAAAAGAAGGGGGAGTTTTCCCACCCGATTAGAGCACCTTGGGTCCAAAACAGGCTGTGCTACCCAATAAACCCGCCTCACGCTCCTTCAGCTGTTTTTGGGTGTTTGTGCCAACTGCGTTGCATTTGACCATTCTGAAAAAAACCCATCATCTTTGGTCAGACTAGTTTGCCCGGTTATTTATTTAGTTATTTATCCAGCCTATAGCGATGTTACATTAGCTGGGAGACTACAACGCTCAGGCAGGTAGGTTGGCTGCCTGTTTGCTAGTCCTGTTTTTGTTCACGCTTTCCAAGGTACACCATCATGGGTGAGCTCACTCTGCACCCCTCCTGGCCATCAAGAGGGCTTAGATACCACACAATGGTCTATCCAGGCATCTTCTGAGGAGCCTCACCATTGGTCCCTGTAGACCAGGGGTCTCCAAACTTGGCCACTTTAAGACTTGTGGACGTCAACTCCCAGAATTCTCCAGCCAGCTATGCTGGGAGTTGAAGTCCACAAGTCTTAAAGTGGCCAAGTTTGGGGACCTCTGATGTAGACCACGGGTGTCAAAACCAATTTCATTGAGGGTCGCATCAGGGTTGTGTTTGACCTCGGGGGTCCGTGGTGGGCGTGGCCAGCTTGACATAACTTGTGTCGGGGGCGCCTGTGGTGGCCTGAGCGCTCTGCCAGCGAAAATGGGCTTCCGAGCTCTGTTTCCAGCTGCGACAGCCTCCTGCAACCCTCTGGCAGAAAAACGAGCTCGGGAGGGCTATGCATTAAGGTGACCCAACCGTCCTCCTTTAGGGAAGACAGTCCTTCTTTTGTAAGTTCTGTCCTCCCTCGTGTCCTCCTACATGTCCTCCTTTTTGATATTTGAAGACTAATCTGTAAATCTCCATATTTGATCGATGCCAAGCAGATCTGTTGTGTATGATGTGACGTATTTATATTTGACATGACGATTCGTCAAGGCTCGGTACAGTGTGGCGAGACACAATTATGAGACGCATGCACTCCACACAGGAGAATTGTTTTGAGAGAATGTGCCATGCGCAAGTGGTTTTGGTTTTTTTTCTTCAATTTATATGTATCCCCCTTTTCATTGTAAAAAAGTTGGTCACCTTACCATCAGGGGTGGGATTCTACCAGTTCGCACCTATTCGCTAGAACTGGTTGTTAACATTCTAAGTAGTTCGGAGAACTGGTTGTTAGAAGAAATTACTGGCCTAATCCTGTAAGGAAGGCAGGAAGGAAACATTCTGGTGTTGCTGACAGAAACTGCCTCTCTGTTAACCCTTATTACATTCTTGGCAGGACTAGACTTCCTGTCTCAGGAACATCTCTGGAGTTTTTTTCTGATACTTTACTTGTGTGGAGTGACCATTTAAAGTTACAATGGCACTGAAAAAAGTGACTTATGACCATTTTTCACATTTATGACTGTTGCAGCATCCCCATAGTCATGAGAAGCCAGGCAAGGAGATGCGTGCCTCGATGTGAGTGATATTGAGTTGGCCACACCCAGACAGTAACATGACCACCAAGCCACGCCCACCCAGTCACATGACCACCAAGCCACACCCACCACCTAAGCCATGCCCACAGAACTGGTTGTTAAAAATTTGAATCCCACCCCTGCTTACCATGCATGCCCTCCCCGAGCTGTTTTCACGGGCAGAGGCACTGTGGGCCAGTCCTTTGCTGTTTCCAGAGCAGCCTTGTGAGCCAGATCTGGCCCCCGTTTGACCCCCTTGCTGTGGACTGTTCTTGCCAACAATGACCTGATCTACACAGAAGCCTATGTTTCTTCAACAAACTATAATTGCAATGATCTGGTTGGCGTGAACCCATCTTTTGCAGCTCTTGCTTGACAAACCTTTGTTTAGCACAAGGAGTGGGTTCAGCTACAGTTTGACAACAGGGCACCTCGCTCACCTGGGGATTATTATTATTCTTTTCAGTCGTAAATGGAGATGCCAAGCGTGAAATCTTTTTTTTTTTTTTTTTTTGGTCCAATTCACAAGTTCTTCCCAAATTGTCAGGTTGCTCCTTACTCAATTGCGTTTGCCGTTTGAGATAAAATCAGGAAGAGCTGCTGCATAAGCAGATCTGTGAAAGCTCCAAAGGAACAAAAATCTTACTGGGGATTACCAGTTTAAATATCTTTGTTAGTCACGTATGATCTAAATGGGGAAAAATGATACTTATGTGTGAGTTTCTCTGCGTATGTACAGTGGGGCGGTGCAGGCTTTGAACATGAATCAGAAAAAGGCATCAGCCTGACACAAAGCACAGAGCGCTGGTACGAATTCAAACAGCCAAAAGTGTTTCCACACCAATCTTTTTTTTTTTTTAAAGGCTGCTGCTTTAAGGAGTGGATGCTATAAAACAACCCTTAAAGCAGCAATGGCTTCTTTCATAAATTGCAGAGCGCTGGTCTACCTGGGTAAGGGCTGAACTGAAGCACTTTTTCAGATCTTTGCGATTTATGTTCAGCCCTAAAATTTATTTTATGTGATAAATGGAAGGTGATTGTTGCTTACCAGAGGATGAAAACAGCCAGGCAGGGCTATTTATATAAGCCTGTGAAAATCAGCACTGCTTGCTGTCGACTTAATAGTCTTAAGAGAATGTCATCTTATAAGAACAGTGGTCACCAACTGGTGGTCGGTGGACCACTGATGGTCTGCAAAAAAAATTTGGGTGGTCCACAGAAAAATTATTTGCATTTTTTTATATTGCACTAAATCAAGGGTCCTCAAACTATGGCCCCTGGGCCGGATACGTAAAAGGAACGTTTATGTTTCTGCACAGAGTCTCCCCTTTCGGGGTCTTTTCGTGCAGGTCGGAGAGGGGCAGGAATTCCAACTTGGGGTTTGCTTCAGCCTCTTGGTGCGGGGCTTTGGGCAAAGGCTGGAGGGAAGGGCCGCTGGTGGCGAAGAGCTGGAGGGCCTCGTTCCAATGGCCTGGAACTGGCTGACCAGCCCGCTGAGCCTCCAGGTGCCGGTACCTG